GCCAAATGCCGGTTGCCAATGGCGCATCCAGAACGCGTCAGAAATTCCAGAAAGTTATAGCCGCTTAGCTATATATGCGAAGCGCTGTACAACTGTTCTTGACTTCGTTTTGGGCATTAATAGACCTTGTGCACCTTTGGTGGTTGTTTTGACGTGAACGCTAGCTTGGGAGGCTCAGACCGAGGACGAAGCTGAGGAAAATACCGTTACTACACTGGGGGGAGTTTATTTGAAACTCAGTTTATTCATTCCAGTGATTTATTCGACCTCGGCAGTTGCCGATAGCGTTCCACCGAGTTTCCAGACTGTCTTCCTAAGGTATGCGTTTTCAAATTAAACTCTGAGTAAGCAGGGGAGACAGTAACTACCACCAGTAGACCACCGATGGTACGTGGCATTTCTTTCGCATGCGTACTTCACGTGCTTCGGCCAGCAAAGTATACACGTGATTCTAGCAGGTAGGCCGTCTAGTTCTGGAAAAAGCTTTTCTTTAATAGGAATTGAGAACGGAGCAATGCTTATGAAAGTGCTCGAATTGCAGTGGACTTTATATGCGGGTACCATTTGGCATTGCCCGGAAATTATGGACCAGGAAGTGAGGAGCTGAGTGATTGAGGGACAATAAGTGAGGATCGACGAAAGAATGAGAGGATTCCGCCCTCGCCGTACGCCAGTATCGTATTGTTGGGAATGATAAATTCACGATGGTAACTAACTGGCAAGCAAAATTCGTTTCCAAGTCTGTGTACAGGATATAGTACGATATAGTGTATGTACGACCTGATGTGCTTTAAGTTGTCGGTACTTCAGTCAGACGGTCGCTGGTTCGACTCCGTTTCCGAACGTCTGCCCGTTCGTAGTTTTTTCATCACGAAAAACGGTGAATTCTAATGTCAGAGAACCGCCGGTGAAATATAGGCGGAGGACTTGCACCGCAGACAATTTATTCATTGGCCAACCGATTTCATGGCTGTCCAACAAGGTCTGGGACAGTTGAATCTTACAATGTTCCCATAATTTTCCTGCACTTTGTCATATTTCGTCATTGAACGATAGCATCTGAGTGGACAAACAAACGGAGTTCTGAACGCAAACTGGTCGTTCTTACCTGAGACGACAAATAAATACATTCCGGGACATCGGTGCCCCATTATTGTACAACCATCCCACAAAAGTGCGTCAGCGAAAGTGCTTGCTGCCAGCTGCTGGTCTTCTTGGGAACACTACTCACTTCGTTTTGGCAAAGCGGGTCCAGAGTTTGCTTGGTGTGTAGTCCACCCACCGGTCAATCACAACCAGGTCGTTTTCATGGAAGAATAACTCGGCTTGTAAACTGAAGGTGGTTGAGGTCATCGTACCATAAAATTAGCGATCTGATTCGAGTTTCAGTTCACTGAAATGGATAGCAAACTGAAACACTGCGATTTCATCTACCTTAGTTGCGGACCATCTGAGACTCGCTTGACCACTTCGCATATCCATAGCGTCTGGTCCGGAGTTCTGCTGCACAAACGCATAAAACTCAAGGACGAATAATTTATTGATTTCCTTCTTCGTGTCGTCCTTTAGTGTCACATCCGTTTGAAGAGAAAACGAGTGCTTAAAACTAAGATTCTTGGGAAGCAGTAAACCACGTCACTTTCGCTGGGGATGGTTTGCTTTCCAGGATGAGTCATTTATGCGGCCATTTGCATGTTTGTAGCGAATAAATTCCGTTCTTCTGCACATCTTCATTTCGCTCTTTCCAAGTGTCAGGATGAAAAAAGTAGGTCATCAGTGACAAATACACTCATTTGCAAATCAATTTTGTCTTCACGGGAGATTCAAGTGAATCTCTTGTTTGTGATATTCTTCAACTGGATGTGCTGCACAAAGACCGCCTCATGTTTTAGTTGGTACGATATTCTAGATATCGTAGTATATTTTTATAAAGGAAACTACTCACAAGTTTGTTGAAAACCCTCCCAATGACCACGACCGGCTTCACCTTTCTTGAGGCTCATTAGGTAGGCGATATCTCCAATCCCGTACTAAGGCATGAGGCGGCTTTTATGCAGCACATTGGGTTGTAGAATATCATAAACGAGAGGTTCAGTTGAGTCTCTCGTGAAAACCAAATTGATGTGCGAATGAGTGGAGTCGTCGAAATCTGTTCAATTAGGGTTTACTTAGAACATGGGGTTGATGGACTGCGCCTACCTGATGAGCCCCACGAAGGGCGAAACCGGTCGTGGGCTATCGAAGAGTTTTCAGCAACCTTGTGAGTAGTTTCTTTCAGGTCATCTGTGGTTTGCTTTCATTATGCAACTGCATCTTGTAGGAACCAACAGGACTAGGTTACTTCCGGATAGAAGGTCTAAGACTAACTCGGCCTATCACTATAGATCATCCCGTTCTTAGAGTTGTCTGCTGTTGCTGGTTTAATTGCTCCCCTGTTGAGATAAGCTACCATAACCTGATTTTAATGTGCTTCGTTCCCCAGTTTGCTTTTTCGGTATAGATTTTCCATAATGATCTGTATTCCTAAGACCGATGCGATAGACCACAAACCATCAGTTGAGCTAATTAGGATGTTATCTACCTTCACGTTTTTGGGGTTTGTATGAAATGGTGACTTTCTGCTCGTTCACTAGTACAGGACCAAAAACGCCCCATGTTACCGTTTGTTCGTTGCTTTACTAGGATTCGGTGGTTTCCAACTTTTCGCTGTTTGCCATGGTACTTATCTTTAAAATTTACTAGGATTCGGTGGTTTCCAACTTTTTGCTGTTTGCTATAGTAATTGTCTTTAAACTTGTCCTGCTTCATGGTTGCTACCGACTGTAACTTGGTTGTGACGTGGAAATCGAACTAGAACGCATTATTCTTGCTCCTCTGCGAAAATTTCGACTTCCTCGCGCAATCTGTTTGTTTTCAGCAGTCTTGTTTCTTACTCGAGCCAGAACATATTACCAATATAGTATTTGAAGTGTTCTCTTGCAAGTAATAATAGAAAATGAGCCGTCCAGCTGTAGCCCCCTTTTGGTATCTAGTTGGCACATCACTTGAAGGAAACGCTAGGGCTGAGGTACTGCTAGGTTTCCAAAGGCTAGACAGAAGCAGTCGGGCTCGAACCCGTTCAGTAAGTTCGCGCCTTGAACACTTGGCTATCTCGAGCTCATTAAGTTGTATGGGAATACTATTCAAAATCCGTCACCGGTTTCGCTCTCTGTAGAGTAAACATGGTCACAAGGCCGTTTCGGAAAACCAGTATGATATCTACTACGAGATACTTCATTGAGCCTCTCATCCTGGCTGTTCCACCGAACAGGGGCGTTCACAATATGTGTTACTAAGGCGAACAGATGCTTTCTGCAATTCGCTTTGAATTTGATGCAGAACAGAAGAGCACTTCCTGCGGTAGACGATGACTCACCAACGCACAGTTGAGCTACCGCGGTTTATTGCACTGGACGCACGCCCGAAAACTGGAATTGTATCGAATTGTATCTCCATGAGCCGTCAAAGACCTGGAGTTGTCTCAATTCTGCTGGTCGTACAGGCCACAATAGTGTCTCCTGAGCCTCCAAGACTTAGCACTTTGTCTCAACTTAGAAAGCGCGATCTGAGTATCAGTGATTCATGCATATACCTTATCCGCCACACTATAATCAGAGTTAACACAACCTCCGAGATACGTAAAACAATTTACAACTTCAGCTGGTTGCAATTGGCCTTTCGTGACCGCGTGTCCAGAGGTACTACCTTATTACGCTTTGTAAATGCAAGGCATATTCCGAAGAACCGGATCAATTTGGTCAATTTATCCAAAAACACCTTTCCTTTTTCTCTTCCTCTTCGAAGACTGGGACAATACCGTCTGCGTATTTCAGGCAAACAAGGTTTTTGTCTGTCGTCTTCCGAACACCTAGTTTTTCCCAGACCTTTCGGTCCCACAATCTTGTTGATCACAAAATCCAATAGGGATCCTGAAATCTGTCTTCAGGCCCCACTTGTTAGGAAGTCACTCAGATAGCTTGCCATACGATCTCGCTATCGAGCGTCTGAGAGTACAAAGAACTGATGTGTTCACCGGGAATCGCATTCTTTTCATACTTGTTGTTCCTTGTTAGCTAACAGGGTCCTTTATTCTGAAGAGCAACGGCAATTATTTCCGTGATAGAATCGAATGGAATCTGGGGATCCGAAATTTCGATCGCTTGAAGAATTCTTTCAGTTCCTTTATGCTGTTTGGCCTTCTACGTTGTTTCAGGTTGCTAAATCTAGCGTACAGCTGATAATCCAGATAACCAGACTCCAACCGACTCGCCATGGTAACGGTCGTTATGTGTTACATTGTGGTGCGCTTGTCTGTCAGTCCAGCTCACCGAACAAATGGCCTTTCTTCATCCGTATGTCCACTGACTGATATTTTTGTTTTGGGCATTGAAATTGATTTGCTAAGGTTTTCTTTTTGGCCACTGTCATGAGATTTTATTTTGGGTAGTACGATAACAACGCCGGGATAGGCATGTTCCGTATGAACCGTTCGCCAAGAAACGCACGACCAAATCTATGGGCTAGAAGCTCGCCGTGGGATGTCGCACTAATGAGTCGTTCGAAGAGGTCGCATGCACTTTCACAATGCTAGACAAACTGTGGTTTGAAATCAGTGGTGGCGGTGTACGATTGACACGTTTTTCTATCCCATCCAGCCAACTACTCACCTATGGATTTGCGTTAACGTACTGACTAGTCAAGACTGATTTACGGTATGGAATTCCAAAATCACGTCTCCACTGGCAGATAATAAGTTAGCTACTCAGGAAGGAAAATATCACGTTGCGTGAACTTTCTCCTGGGTGTCGTCACTCGATGAACCATCAACACGTGCGATTTGAATCGTTGAACGATGAGTTTGGCTGTATATTACGTGGAGGATGTGGAGGAATCGGTGTGCGAACTATCAAGTTTGTGCACGTGTGTCAGCAAACCACCGATTGTGGAAACAATGTAGGAGACCTAGACGGAAGAGTTATCTATTGAGGTCACTCAGGAGTTATCGGCTTCGTTGAGCAGTGGAGCTAGCTTCTGGATACTAAAACTTCGTTCATGCAGCTGCTCGCACGATCAGAGTAATTTGAAGATGATATCACAGGCGTATTCTTGTATTACGATATGGTTTTCTTGGAAAATTACGGTCTAATGTTATGAATAGACTCACGGCTCCGTCGTTCGAACCCGACCTCTGCCCCTCGACTTCCCCGGTCTAGGCTAGGGCAACCTGGTAGTATCCCTACCCTCGTGCTTCCTTTGGGTGACATGGCAGTTAGGCACCAAATGGGTGCTATAGCTGAGCGGTATATATATATAT